GTACATACCATAGGACCACAGGTACATACCATAGGACCACAGGTACACACCATAGGAACAGGCTAAGAAAGCCTCTATATAATAACTTCTTAAATGCAACCTCTATTACTAAAGTAGTTGTTTTTATGCATATGCTTTTTCTCATAAAAGCTGAAAGTATTTTTAAAAGGCATTGCACATTTTTAGTTTTTCTGAAAACAAATTAAGGGACTGTGAGGAATAGGAAAAAAAAACCCTCATGTGATACATTAGGGTAGATGTTCAATGCTCAAAGTTCATGACATCTGTGAATGACTAGAGTAGGGAATGGGAAAATGTTAAATTAAGCCAAGTATGGTCAGCACACATTGGTAATCCTAGCTCTCAGGGAAGGGAAGGTCACAGACAGGCCTACACACTAAAAGACAAGCTGGGCTGCACAGGGAGATTTAAAAAAAAAATCTAAGTAGAAATTCTAAAATTCCTAAGACCAGAAGAGGACAATTTAAACTTGATTTAGTTTCCTAAAAAGGAGGTATGCTGCTGACTTAACTAAATCAAGGGGAAAAAGGAACAGCAGTGCCCCAAGAGTTACAGATCATTCTAATGTCTACTCATGAATGAACAATAAATAAATACAATACCTTGATATGATGTATTAAAACAGAAGAAAATTTGTTTTGAGACTCAATTATTCTCAAAGAAACAAAATGACTGTAACTGTAAACAAAGCAATTTAAAACAAGTCTTCCTAATGAGAACTGAGAGCATCACTCTTACAGGAATACTAACGCTGTCGAGGTTGTCCTAAAGGAGTTAAAGCTGTCACACAGCACCATGCGAGCTCTCCCCACACCTCACTAGCATCTCAGGTAAGAGGCAAAAGAAGAATTGACAGAAGAGCTCTGAAGTGACTTGACACTTATCCACAAATTAGGGGAAGCTGCAGCGGTGCCAAGGCTGTAGTTTCACAGATGCAGATGACATTGTTATTGGTCAAGGGGTTGGAAATGAATGGGAAAGACAGACTCCCTCTGAAACCAGCCCATCACTCTGATGCTGAGGCATTATCCTAAGACTTTAGGCAGCCGGGTGTTAAACACAATCATACAATGTAAGATTGGCTTTGATAAGCCTAATTCCTTTGACTATCAGCTATAAAAATCTGAGAGAAAAAAAATACAAAATCTAGAAAACAGTTTAATAATCAAGCTCAAAGTTTTCTTTTATTAATTAATCTTAAATTTCTTTATAATCGACTAGTATTTAAATTTCTTAAAATTCAATCAAAATTCCAAATCAAGACTTTAAGAGTGACAGATATTGAGATATGTCAGAAGTTTGCGTGATACTTTTGCGTGATACTTTTAAAAGGATATCATTTGCAAAAAGGATACTGCATATCTTTAAATAAGGAGTACATTCAGGTTTCTAATTCCTCTTTATACTCACCCCAATTACTGAAAAAGAAAAAGTACAGAAAAGGTTAAGCAACAAACTGATTTAAAAAAAAGGATACACACACTTAAACAATCTTTATTTACAGTAAGTTTTCAAAGTGCAAGTTTCCATATGGTTTATGTGTTGCAACTGCTGTAAATTTGTGTCTTCTTGTTTCATTTTGAAGTTGTGGTAAAATATAAACAGAATGTAATTCATCCACATTATCATCTTAAATTACACAGTTCAGAGTGTTGTATCAAACTTTACTATACACATTCATCACCTCTGCCCATCCCCAGAGCTCTTACCATTTCAAAATCAAACTTTTAATTTATTGTAACGTATTCTTCTTTATTAGTCATTTGCCATCACAGAGAAACTTACCCACAACACATGTATTATAGGTATCCATCCACACAGAAACAGTTCCTAACGTTAGATAAAGAAAACAAGGCTCATGGGAGAAAGAGAGCTGCCCAAATGGCCCTCCAAGATTCTTCTACAGGACACTGAATCATGGCCATGTGTAATCAAACTTACAGCAACAAGAATGCTTAATATTGGAGAAAAAAGATAAACCACTAAGCATAAAATTACTTTTATGATCAAAATTAATAACTTTGTTATAAAACCGGTCAAAGTAGCTGCACAAGAAAGTGCAGAGTAGGCTGCTCGCTTCCTGTGAAGTCAGCAGAGTTCAGGTCTGCCCTGACACAAGAGGAGTAATGAGAGCACCTTCCACTACTAATCAGATGGCGAGACACAGACTGCTGCATGTCCACATAAATAATCAGTAAGAAGGCAGTCCTCAGTCAAACATGAAAATACCTAAGATATAAGTAGGCCACAAAGATAACTCTGATAGAAAAAAAAAAAAAAGCAGAACTCTACATGGGATTTAAACATGTTCTTAAAAGGTTACAGATTATAAAACAGTTATTCAAAGAAATCAAATCTCCAGATAGAAGACTTCAAAGTCAAATAAAAGTTTTCTACTCCACTGAAAAGAGCTGTTCCAGGTAATTCTTAGATACCCCGAGTTTAATCCTCAGCACCAAAAACAAGCAAACCAGACAAACCAAACAAACTAGCTCCTGTGACGAACTGGGCTCAATGTCTGAATCTTACTGTCTAGTTCTAGAAATTCACACCAGCTGGCATTTTCTAAATCATTTACTTATATAAAACTCACCCATGTCATAACAACACTGTGCACATTAGTTTTTTCTTAGATTAGGTTACCAACTAATGTAGCTGCCACAGTTTAGCTCTTGCCATGTGTATTTTCATAATACTACAAGACAATTGCTCTACTACAGATACAGAACAAAACCTCCCACGTTCCATATGCAGGGGTGAGCAGCAGACTTCCTCTTTAGAGTGACCAACAATGAGGGGTGAGTACTGACATGGGCACATTTGCAGTCTGACTTCTTACGGTGACATCACCCAGAACCCAGTGCATGACTTTCACTACAGGAAGACGGTTTGTAACCCAGAGTAGAAGAATTTAATTGAGAGCCTGGGCCACAAGTCAGAGCTTCATCCTGGATGCAGCCCTGCTGTTGCCTAGCAAAGGTGAGTCTCCTCCCTTTGAGTTTCTTCACCTAATATAAAGGTGAAAACACTTCTCCAACACAACACAAGTTTGCTGGGAAAAAAGAAACACATAAAAGCTCTGGGAAAAGTTTTTAAAAGTAAAAGGATGAGCTAGATGTATTAGCACACACCTAGAACTCCACCTGAGGCAGGAGCATTGTAAAGACTGAAGGCAACCTGGGCTGGAGACTGTCTCAAAGAAACAAAGAGGGAAGGTGAAGGGGTAGGAGGAGAACCTTACTAGGTAACAAAACCACTGAAGGCCTTTACATCAAACAACACAAGAACTTTATCAAGTTGGCCTCATCAGCCAGTTTGTTTCCTATGTGTAAAATACAGACGCCGGATTAGATGGTCCAGGTAGTCTGTCAACTCCAAAGCAAAGCAAATTCATTAATCTATCTAAACCAGCAGTATCTTAGAAGTCAAGCTTCTCAAAACAAACACACAAACGAACGAGCAAACAAAACTAACTTCACTTTTAAAAAAGTATTTGCAGCCAGGCGGTGGTGGCGCACGCCTTTAATCCCAGCACTTGGGAGGCAGAGGCAGGCGGATTTCTGAGTTCGAGGCCAGCCTGGTCTACAGAGTGAGTTCCAGGACAGCCACGGCTACACAGAGAAACCCTGTCTCGAAAAACCAAACCAAGAAAAAAAAGTATTTGCACTGGTCTATTAACAAACAGGGCCAATAAGCAGAAGTCTTAAGTAATCACAGATAAAGCTGAGATGCAGTCAACAGACACAAAAATGGGAACTTTAAAAGAAAATACAAGAAATATGCTTAGGATGGCAAGATGGCTCAGTGGGTAAAGATGCTTGCTACCACACCTGACCACATGAGTTCAACCCTTGGAAGCCACACTGCGGAAGGAGAAAGTGGACTCCCTGGAGTTGTCCTCAGACCTCTATACATCATCACTGCACATGTGCCACCACCATTCGGCAGCACAAGCAAGCAAACAGAAAATGTGTCTCTGGCACGGAAAGTGACCATGCCGAGACACACAGGCCA